TGTACAGGAATGTATAGCTGACTCGTTTAAGCCACCGTATGACTCCGCTTGCTGTTGAGTTGATGCTGATTTGTAGTATCCTGTTTCAGAATTGTGCTCTCTAAGATTTTCAGTGGCTCATTTTTTCAGACGCAGATCTCCAGGTCTTCTGAGGTAGGTACCTCTCGTGGGCTTAAACCTCCAGCCTTTCTGTTAGCATGTTAGCAGTGGAACCCATTAACCATTTGCACTACCCAGGGACATCCAACCACTATGTTACCTGTTTATCTTTCAGTTTTTTGCCCTAGCTTTGTAAAGAAGGGCAGGTACTTTGGTGTCTTCATCTTTAGTAAAGATCCTGAAGATAATCATTGTTCTGACAGAATAACCATTGATGTTCTTTCACTCTACTGTTCAGATAAAACCAGATTGTTAACGATTATAAGTAAGCAATTCTAGTTTCTTACAGGGCTGCTGTTTCTGTTAAGGTTCAGTCTTACACACAAGCCTTGGATACCGCTGGCAAGTATACCACAAGTTTGTGGATTCCTTACGTGACACTTTAGTAGATCCAGTTAACAAATCTGCTGGTCGATGGTTCTAGTACTTTATACAAAAATAAAGGCGCATACAGCAAATGGACAGATACACTCATGGTATAATGAAATACAGATGATGATAAACAGACAAGACAAATCCTTCAAAAGGGAAGATGACAATTTTTATTGTTATTACAAAAACTTTTTAATTTTAGTCATTTGAATAATTGCAAGAGCAGACTAAGGGCTTAATCCTCACACAGGCACCAAGTCAGGCACAGTAGGCAGCTACAAATCATAAGGAAAAAAGTTTCTTCAGCTCTAGATTCCCATAATTCCTTCTTAGAGCATTTGTTCAGAGTTTGGAATTAGGCTAAAAAAAACCTGTGAAACAAATCCGTTCCCTTAAACCTTCCCTATTTAAACAACAACAACAACAACACTATTATCCTGCCGTGTGTTGAAAGTCATTCACTCGAAAGAGAGCCCTATTTCCATTAGAAACAAGCCGAAGTTAAGGGGTATGTGTTGTTAAGTGCCCTGTATAGGGTTTCGAGGAGCTACTGGTGAGCTTGAACCACTGACCTTGTGGTCCAAAGTGACTTTGTAGTCCAGCGCAATAACCCACAGCACCATGCCAGGACTCCTTAAAGTGCAAGCCTTCCAGGCTCACCGTTTTCACTTAATGTGTGTAGAGAAACGGAGGCCAGGACGATCCCCTGAGGAGGGCAAGAGCTCCAGCCTGCACTCTTCCACTGGTAGCAGGAGGAGGGAGCAAGGATGGGGCTGACATGGGAAGCACTAGCTAATGTGCCTGGTGGAGGGAAGCCTTGGGAAGTAGAAAATGTCATTCCACCTTTATCTCCAAACCTGAGGTTTCCATGTTATATTTTAAAGGGCATGTGTGACAAGGCAGAAATGATAGGAAATCCTTAAGGATTTTCAGCCATTTTCAGCCTAGACAGAGTACCTATGTGTTTTTTCCTTATACTGGACACCAAAAGGTTTCCATCACACTCCCACACCTTCAGGTCCTTATAATAATTCCTTAGTAAACAACTCAGCATTATTACTGTTTCAAGGAAGCATAGGATTAGAGGTATGTGAAAAGTATATTTATGAAAGGGAAGACTCAATGTTCTAGGATATAGAAAATCAAGAATATCCTAGAGCCAAAACCACCAAGAAAGTTTAACCAAATCTCTACCCTGCCTGAATCCTAGCAGTAATTGGTTCAAGTGGAATCCATTGAACTATTGAAAGTAAAAGCACTTCCTAATCAGTTTACTATGAAAATTAACATAACCAACTGTCTGCTAAACGGGCACCTAAGTCTTATACTTATTTTAACAAGCTTCTGCCATAGGCAAGGTATCTAAAGAATGAAACAAGATAACTAACATACTAGATTTGCCAGAACCACTGAAAAATTAGCTGGAGCAAATAAAAGCCCGAATATCTGGGGAAAATGACCCCCAAATCCAGCTGATCGCTATGGACCTTACGTATGTCTGTGAGAGGATTAATGGCACCTTTGGTTCTGAGATCGTGGGCCAACACTGAGAACAGTCATCCTGCGATCAGGGCTACAGTCAGTGCCGTAACCCGAGTGTAAAGGTTGCTTGGTGTGTGTTTGTCCCTTGACTACCTTAATCCCTACCCAAAGCAGAGTCTCATCCCCGAAGTCTTACATTCTGAGAGGAAGTCCATGCCAATGGGGAAAGGTGCTGGGGTACTGTTGTGTGTAGTAGTCATCAAAGATCACAGAGTAATCACAGCCACGGTTACTCGTTTTCCTGAAGGTCACCAAAGGAGATTAGCTGATTCTTCTCAAACGTTCATCATGGAAGCTACTTTTGACCACAGGTCTAATAGGTTCATCTTTTCCTTGGGTGCCAAAATTGCACCCGATTTCAAGTGTGATCCAAAATATTTGCAGTGCTCCAGCTGAGAGTATGCCAGTAATTGTTGATTTCCTTACGTCCAAAGTCCCAAAATGTAAAAGCAGTTCTGTTAGCCAGCAGACGGTGTGGTCTCGTGGAGTAGTGAGCAACTCTTATACAGTTTACAAACAGTTTACATTCAGTCATCACAAAGTTCAAGACTTTCAAATTTAAAATGAGGAAATTTACATGGGCTGAATTATTCAAGACTACTTTAGTATTTGCCATTTAATTTCATGGCAATACACTCAGTCTTCAAGCTTCAATTTACACAGAGTTTTGCTGAATAAGTCCTTTTTGAAAATTAAAAACAAGACACAGGTGCTAAGTTTACCCCTCTCCCACTTAAGATACACAGGCTTAAAACAGCAACTACTGAGATATTTCAATGACATTTTTTCTTCATTTGAATTCAGTTCACTAATTAAAAAACAAACTATAATCTAGCATGAAAATTATATAAAGATCATTAATGTAAAAAGATGCAAAGAAAAATCATGATTCTAACATCTTTGTTAAAGACAGAGAAAAAGGATTCGATCTGTGTTGCCTGAAATACGCAGCTGACTCCCCCACCGTCTTCCCTAGGAACACACCCCTGGTACTTGCAGAAAAGAATGGCAGCAGAGGCTGTAGTGTTCGCTCACACAAGGTCCCCCGGCTCCACACACAGCCAAGTGCACGTCAGACACTTGATTTCCTCAGCCACGTAATTGCCATTGTAACTTGGAGAGTTTAAAATGCAGTCATTTAAAGTGGGAATTCCTCTCAAAGCATTTAACATGTATGTAGTGGCTAGCTGGACATTTGCTTTTAAATGACTCAATTACTGTTTGCTTAATTCTGCAACAATTCAATGAGCTTTTTGTTTTATAATTACAACATGTGTTTTTATTATGTTATTTTCAGAGGTAGGTCCTTCACAGTTGATATCTTTTCAGTCTTGGCATCATGCACAGAATATTCTAAAATTAAATGAATACCAAACATAACTAGTTTTTAAATGTGTTCAATTTAAAAATGGGAAGAATCAGTCTTTGGAAATTATTTCAGCGACTTCAACTTTTAAAGACTTGTTTAAATCCAAGCAATTGCTAGTATTTCTGTTCTTACTGAGAATTACAAAGTTATTAGTATGTTCTGATTAAAGATTTCCTATTTCCCAGAAAAATAAAAGCCCAGAGATTTGCAGGCATAATAAAATTTGAATTTCATGCGACTTGATAGCTATGCGTAGGGAGCTCTGGTAGCGTAGTGGTTACGAATCGGGCTGCTAATCTCTTGGTCAGCAGTTCAAAACTACCAGCTGTTCCGTGGGAGAAAGATGAAGCTTTCTGCTCCTGTAAAGATTTACAGTCTTGGAAACCCTATACAAGGTCGCTATGAGTCAGAACCGACTCCACGGCATATAACAATAGTTATGCGTATACTTATAGAAAGTTGTAGGGCAGTAACTTTGCTCTGTCCAAATAGTATCACATCATCCATTAAAAAAAAAACTGGCTTATATTATTACATTTTTTGTGACTGTAAATGCTCTGACTAGGCTTTTCTTTTCTGAGGAGGAAGATTACAAGAAGAAACTTGGCATTAAACGTACAAAGAATCTTACTTAGAGGTGAATCACAATTTAAAAGAGGCCAGATCTTCAATGAACGGCAACACTTCACACATCAAGGTGTTTCCAATAAACTCAGAAATCACCTCTTCAGTTTCCCATTTATTCTCTAAAAACTTCAGAGTCATGATACAGCAGAGATTTAGCCTTCAATTGAAAGAAAACCCACAAGGCTGCAGGATTCATCCACATTACAGGTGAACAAATGTTAGCTTGTACTTAAGACTCAGGTCATTTCAAATAACTAAGATAAAATTTAAGATTATGCTTGATTCTACTTATCACTGTAAATTTCAGTCTGTGCAAATGCTGAAGATCCTAAATACGTGTTCATTTAGTTGTTGGATGGAGTTGAGCTATAATCAGCAAGGATTATGCAATTTTAGAATTGCTGATACAAAGAGTCGACTGAGTAATCTGTATAGCTGGCACCTGTAATTGATACGGTTTTCATATTAGATACATGCAGCTCTTACTATTACTAAAGGAGGCATTTTTACCAGGTCTCAACATGCTTACTTTAGTGTAAATTGTACTGATTCAGTGAGTTAATGGAATTTTCTGTAGGGGTACACCTTCATTATGCTTTACGTGTAAATCTGTAACAACTTACTGTGTTTAAAAAAGGTTAAAATATAAATGGGCACAAAACAACTGATGGACCTAAGACAGCACTGTCACACACAGGTGCATCACATATGTGTGTGTATGCATTAACCATCAAAAGGGGAGGGGTCAGACAAATACAAACTTTGAACGTTATTTCTAAATGCCTCATTTAAGTAGTGAGTAGGGGAAGAGTTTAGAAAAGTCCAAGTAATAAAATGTATTCACTTCTTGGTAAAGTTAAAAAGCTAATGCAACAGTGTTACATCCAGATAAAACCATTATCCAAAAGTAATTCAAATACAAAAAGGGTTTCAAATGGAATATTTATTAACATGGTAGTCGTCTCTGTAACATGTGCACACATACTCGCACACTCAGAATAATCTGCCTGGGGAAAAGCCTAAATATGCCTAAGGGGATAATGGGGAAAAAAAAAAAAAATTCCTGTAGGTTTTCATTATTGTAGGCAATTATGTCCACATCACTTACAATGCTATTGCCAAATCTGTCCAGGGAAGCAGAGTTTGAGAGGGGAGAAAAAAATCTGGGGGAAAAATTCAACAGTGGCATAGCAGAGCTCTCAATATGAGAAAGCTGACATAATGTGGACTTTTGCTGTGAATTTTCTCTTTGCAAAATAGGGGGAGAGATTTATGAATGGGCAGAAATAAGAGAAGGCGGTGTGAAGTGGGCTTTTGCAGTCAATTTTCCTCACAGTATTGTGCAGGGTCATCAAGCAAATGCTTAGTCTTTCTCGGGAACCAGTTTCAGAACTTTTCCAATTGCAATGGTCTTACCTGGAAATAAAATTTAAAAAACAAACAAAAAAGCCTTTCAGTAGTTAACAAAAAGTCTGTCTGTGGAAGGTATTATTTTAAATTACAAAACATTTGACAGTGTAAATTACTACCACCAAAGACACAATTTTGGATTAGTCTTATTACAAAGTATCCCCTGAGTAGCACAAAGGGTTAAAAGCACTCTACTAGGCGCCAAAAGGCTGGCAAGTGAATTCATGCACTTGCCACACGATCTGCTTCCCAAAAGCCCTATGAAGCAGTCCTCAGCGCTCTCCAAGTCACCGTGAGTCAGAACTGATTCAAAGGCAACTTAACGCTAAATGTCTTTATACAAAAATGAAGTAATACACTCACTGACAAACCAACCCAAACACATAAATTTACATGGTAAGTGGGTTGGTCTAAGAGAGAAGATAGAAAATATAATTTCCTATACAAAAAACTTATCCTTAGAAACAAATTGTGGAATATATCCATGATTGAACAGTATTTGAGTAATAATAATAATAATAAAAAGTATAGTAAATAAAAAATATTAAACAAAAATATCAAATGTGAAGTTATTTCTCAGCTAGGTCTGTACACTTGGGCATCTCTTATTGTTTACCCCCCCAAGAATTCTACACCATGTCCAAATGGCATCCGCAAGGGACTCAAATCCTGTTCCTTTTCAATGTTCTGAGTTTGGGGAACAAAAAGAATCATTCCTGTAAGGGCAAGGTCAGAGCTGTACAGTGGATAGGTGGGCTGAAGTTTCCCAATGAAATTCTCTTAGGGCTTACTGTCCCCCTATTTATCCACAAACATAAGAAGCAGACACACTGTCACATGGGGGAAATTCCTCAGAGCAACTTGCCTGGCCTTTTCCTTACCCACATCACTTTCCGTTTTCTTAAAACGTATTAACCCTAGGACTGTCCTGTGTTCTACAAGAAGATCTATCAAGGGTATGCCCTTGGAATCTTTAAAAAATAGTTGCCATTAACTCTGACAGCTCAAAACCTTAAGTTTCCATAACCTCTCTGCCTAGGGTTTAACTGGCCCAGCAGACTCCCTCAGAAGCCACTGTTTCAATTAATTTTTTTTTTTTTTAAGTATCATTGAGACTAAGATACACATGTTGCTGAGAGGACTTGTTTCCAGCCATCCACTGACTGCCGAGACATGGTTAAACATGTTTTGTTCAGAAGTAACTCCACACACGATCAACTGGAACTTTTCCTGATGAATTACAAAACGGTTAAACCTCAAAAACAAGATGCTCAGTTAATTAAATAACTGAGACTCAAAAGCCCACATGTTGTATGGTTCTATTTATACAGAGGAATCCTGGTGTGGCGCTGTGGGCTAATGCATCACACTGCAAAGTCAGTGGTTCAAGCTCACCAGTTGCTCCTTGGAAACCCTATACAGGGTCGCTATGGGTCGGAATTGACTCAATAGCACTTAATGACAACAACAAATTTATACAGAATGTCTCAAAAAAAAGCATTAAGAATAAGAAAGTGGTTTACTGGCTGCCTAGAACTAGGAATTGGGGCAAGGAGGGTACTCTTTTGAGATAATATATATTTTCTAACTGTCTTTGGGTCCATTCCAACTTCTAAAGACACTGTATAGGGTTTCTGAGGATGGACGGTGGGTTTGAACTGCCTACCTTGTGGTTAGCAGTAGAAAACAATAATTCTAGAATTAAAAGTTTTTGCTTTATTTTTTATCTTAACCAGGTGTAGCGCTGTAGGATAAGCACTGGGTTGCTAATCACAAGGTCAAACCCACAAGCTACTCCTCAGAAACGCTATACAGGGTAGCTTTGAGTCAGAACCAACTTGATGGCACTTTCAAAAGAAAAAACAAAAATCAACAAGAAGTTTTCATAATAAGGTTTTTAAAAGTCAAATGAAAATGATCTTGACAGTTTTCTGAGCTCATCATCATATTCCTAGTGCTTAAAATAGTTCCTGGCACTCAGTAGACAATCAGTTAATTTTTATTAAATAGAAGGTTTCATCATAACAAAGAGTTTCCTAACTCAAGACAAGAAAATGACTGCTGTTCTGCAGAAACAGACATACACAAAATGTGAACAGGAGACTACTGGGAAAACATGCACACACATACTTACTTCCCTGGGTTGATGAGGGGGAGTCAATGTAATCAATGTTGAAAATCACACAAACGAAGAATGATTTCATTGGTGAAATTGTCTCAAACCCTACTACTTAAAAAAGGCTCAAAACTAAGGTTCTTACTGTATCCAGAGCATCATCGTTAGAATGCATGCTCGGTCTGCTGTTCAATTCATGAAGCATTTACTGTATGAGTAAATTTACAGGCACAAGTCCAATTGGTCCCTCAAACTGATGCAATGTATAATTAATTCTAGGACAGTTACTAAAAAGCTAAACAAGAAAAGGGGGCTCTTACCCTCATCTCTTAAGGTAAAGCGACCCATCTGAGGGAAGTCTTTAAAGGTTTCAAGGCAGATGGTTCCAGCTGTTCTTAAACGAGCGATGCACACTTGATCTTGTTTCACAAAACGGGGTCGAGTCTTACTTTTTTCTCCAGATTTTTTGTCTACCAAGCAGATTAAGGCCTATCCAAGAAAAGAAGATGAGAAGATAGAAACAGGACTATATTAAAAACAGGAGTGCAAGTAAGAGCACACTATTGACCAGAAACCACCAGGCTGAAGTAGCCATAAACCAAACTCACTGTTATTTCCACTTCCTCAATACAGGTATGAATATGCAGCACCGCATTGTAACCCGGGCAGATGATGGATTTGTGCTCAATAATCACGATCTGTCAAATAAACAAACAATCAGCTCTTTATCCCTACAGTAAGAGAAGAATTCATTGTTCGCAAGTGCCATACAGTATTCATAAGAATGTATAATCTCCCTCTAAGAGGGTAGTGAATAAATTATTTATGTGCTAGAAGGTTAATTTTGATCATAGCTTAGGTCAGGTTGACAAAAGCATGACCTTGAATACCCTCTACTCTACTGATCTTGGCAAGCATCTACTCAACTTTCAAAAACAAAGCATTCAAATTCAAGCCTTCTCTGGATGCCTTTTATACATCCCCATTCCCTCACAAAGGATTAAGTTTATTATAAATTGCATGATACTGTTTTCGTCAACAAGATTTGAACTTAGCAAAGCTTCAGCCATTTATCAATATCCAAGGTATAACCTCTGGTATCAAAAATGAACAAGTCTGTTGTCATACTGAACACTTGTAACAACTCAAATAGCACACACCAATTACTTAATAAATCATTCTGAGGAGGTCAAGATACTAATAACCTGGAGAGAGAGAAAAAAAGGATACTTTCCTGTCTGCAGAGTTCTTTGTTCTGAGTGAACAGAGAAACCATGACTTCTAAGACAAAAGTAATTACATACATTAATACCTGGTTTTACAACGTGACCAGGAGATATTCTAGAAATTACCAACCAAAGAGCAACAATAAGAAGCAAAGGAGGCCTGCTGTGGCGCTGTGGGTTAATGCGCCAGACGGCAAAGCTGTTTGAACTGCAAGGTCAGTGGTTCCAGCTCACCAGCTGCTCCCTGGAAACCCTATACAGGGTCAATATGGGTCGGAACCAACTAGACGGCACTTATCAACAATACAAAGAATACTAACTACTTAGGTAAGCATTTGTACCATCTTAAAGACAGTACTTATGGGGAGACATGCACCAGGGTGGTCAGACATTTAGGTCTATCATATTTCATGGTGTATTACACTACACTTCACTTCCTGTGCTACATACTACGATCAGGTTATAGGTGCCTATTACCAGTATTAAAGAAACATCGTAAATTCTCATTTCATTAAGACAGTACAGACCACTGAGACAGCTACAGTGAGTTAACAGCTTTACCTGGGCATCAAATGTCCGTCCAGAATGACAGAGATTATTAGGATCACAAAGTATGAATCCTGGAAGAATCTCTTCTTCTTCGATTCCTTTCAGTCTGATTTTTAGGTTTTCACCAGGGGCTACAGAATCAGTTTCTACGTCATCAGAAAGGATTCCAAGAACTTCCACGTTGTGCTTAAAAAAGAAATCAACACCTGAGGTTTTCTAATGTTACAGAATATAAAATGACCTCAATGTTTGCTGAAGACTTGCAAGGCTCTCTCTTCTTTTGTGGCTGTGGATTAGCCAAAATACTCACATGAATATTAAATTTTGCTACATTTGTTACGACATGCACTTGAAAGTCAAATATACCAAAAATACAACTGACAATTAAAACATCACCTTAAAAAATCACATTCTAGTAATTTCCAAACAGAACAAGCCAGTATTTGCCATTCTTACCTTTTAAAATTATGTCCATAAAATTAAATCCAAATGTTAAATTTAATGTTTTCTAGTTTGTGGATATAAAATTTTAATGACAGAGTATTTAAATAGACACATCTTCTAGGGCACATGAATCTCCAGATACCTGAAGCACATTTCTCAAAACTTATTTCAACAATGAAGCTTATAAAGCATAAAGACTTGTTTCATGGGGATGAGGTTTCTTTTTGGGGTGCTGAAGGTGTTCTGCAATCATATACAGATATAAACTACATAGAGCTAGCTACAGGTGGACAGTTGTACATTACTGTGAACGAAACCTTGTCACCAATGGCAAATTTTGTTTGTTTTACCATGATTTTAAAGTTTGTTGATGGGGGAAAAAGGAATGTCTTAAAAGTATTCTCTTCTTTTACTCTGTTTTTACCCTCGGAGAGAATTAATTTTTTAAAAAAACATACCAAAAATCAAACAAAAACAAAAACATAAGCCTCAAGACAAAATGGTAGTAGATCAAACACTGGAGAATCTTGTTTCATTGTATTCCTCCACACTAGAATTCTACAGATGGTCACCTACAAAGCTTTTTTGCCCTCAAATGTTCTTTCTCAAAAGACAGTTTATATACAGAATCCTACCTCTCTCTACTGAAATTATTCCAAGAACTAAAAAAGAGCCAAACTGTTTAATAATGATGGAATTCATTATAGTAATGACATATAAAGGTAGATATAAACTGCTCCATTATCTATCAATTAAACGAGTATTATTTACAACTTCTTGCCAAAATAAGGCAGCATAGCAATCCCTTCTCCCCCAAAATAGACCTTTTATGGTCAAACAATGGAGCAAAAATGTTAAGTGCCCTCGAGTCAGTTCCGACTCATAGCACCCTGGACAGCGTTTCCAAGGAGCAGCTGGTGGGTGGGTTTGCAATCCAGCGCTGATCTACAGCGCCACAGTGGAGTCAAGAGTTTAATTTACCCACCTATAAGAGGTTAGAAAAAAACATTCAATGTGTATGGTGGAACAATTTTTTTTTTAAATATACAAAGAAAATATGGCTGACTTACTGGACTTTTACTGAGACTCAACTAAAGGGAACTGTTTTTACAGCTAGTTCAACTACAGGATGTTCTACATCTATCCCGCTACTAGGATAAAATAAAAGTGGAAAGGAGAACAGCCACTTTCTTTGTACCTGCTTATGAAGGCTGCAACTTCACCGGGACGCTAACTTTTTCAATCATAATAAACCACACATTTTTTATTATGGTAAAGACTCCTGATACGGTGCTGTAGGATAAGCCCTAAATGGCTATCCTCAAGGTTGGCAGTTCATATCCAGCAGCTGCTCCTTGGAAACCCTGTACAGGTTCAATATCAGTTGGGACGAACCTGACAGCACATAACAAAGAACTAACCTGACTATTTGTAGCCATTTTACAATGGGGAAGTCATGGTATCTAGTTTGTTCATACTGTTGTACAACCATCACCACCATCTTAATTCCAAACATGTCATCCCAAATGGAAGTCCCCGAATCCAATTCTAATCTGCCCCCTCTCCCAAACCACCTTGTGCTTCTGTGAAAGACTGCCACTTTTAGGACTACTCTGCAAACGAAACTGAGCAGGGATTCCAGCTGGCCATCAGTTCACTCACTTCCACCCTTCAATTTGCAGGGCTGAGTCCCTTAGCAAAAAGGAAGCTTTAAAGTAGAAGCACTTTGGAACAAAGACACTATGGCAAGACACTCTAATCTCCAATGCAATGCATTGCAAGGGTATAACTCTAATCTCCAATGCAATGCATTGCAAGGGTATAACTTGTAAGGATAAACACTGTACTGTTAATCACAAAATTGAAACCCACTAGCTGATTTCAGAAATCCTATGCAAAATTAGAGTGAGTAGTAATCAGCCCCAGGGCACTTAACAATCACACTGTAACTAAACATTATACTGGCAACAGAAAACTTAAGTGCCTATAATGAGTGTGGTGCTGTGAGATAAGTACCCAGCTGAAGTGTCTGCTTAAACTGCAAGGTCAGCAGCTCAAATCCGCAGGCCACTCCCTGAAAACTCTGTACAGTTGTTGCTATAAGTTGGAACTGAATTCATGGCACTTAATAACAATAAAGAGCATAGTAAAGAAATGCTACTGAAATCTAACAAAGTATCTATCTATCTGTAGGTTCTGATGATTCAGATCTAATTATCTGTACAAGTAACAACTTTGGAGCTGTTAGAAAAAACCTCTCTCTTGGAAACAGGTGAATAGTTTCTTAACAAAGGGCCATCTGCAGACACTAGCAAGTTAGCAGTCAAAAACAGTTGGTATCTTTTCAAGAAAAGTCTCCATGAGGAATAATTTACAATAAGAAAAGAAAACTTAAGAAAAGACACATTTAGAATAAAGGCCAATTAATTATTCTGCTCTCAAAACAAATGGAGAACCTGGATACATCTTACATACTTATGTCTAATATAATGAGTAATGAGTACATTACCTTCTGCCCACCAGAAAACAGTTACAAATCCTGAGTAAACCTACGGGTTCATCCCTGGCTCTCTTACTAATCCATTTTGTTAACTGAAGCAAGTTACCTAACTACCCCAGATCTCTATGTCCTTTCTAAAAGGGTGAGTCAAAAATTCTTAACACTCCAGTTATATTAAAAAGCCCATCGAGGTCCATGGCTGATGACAACATTCCGAGTGTGCACATGAAATGATTTTGTGTAACAGACGAGTGACAGTGGATTGATTACGTGGCAAATCATTTGCAGATCAGCCTATGAAATCACCCACAACAGACTTGGTTTAGAAAGTCTGTGTGAGATGGATCCTGAAACATGGAAGATGCTCATGGAAGAGCATCAACAGAAGAGTTTGGACATCTGCAAACAAAATATGAATTTATCATTGCCTGAGAGGAAGTGGCAGAGTATGGAATAGAAACATCCTCAATCACCAACCAAGAAAAAGTTCTAAAGTCAACCATCCCGTGGACAACTGATGCTTACACAGTTTTCTGGAATTCTCAAGAGCCAGAACTGGAACACCATGAAGACAAGGTTTGACAATCAGCAGTGCTCACTACACTGAGCTGCTCACTGAAGAGCTGAAGCCTAAACTTCAGATTCAATGCAGAAGACTGCTGGCCAAGGGTGGTGTGGTCTTGCATGACAGTGCACGTCCACACTGTTGACTGTGCAAAAACTTCGTTTTGAGGAGTTAAAGCATCCTCCCTATAGTCCTGATCTTGCTCTTAGTGGACTTTCACCTGTTTGGACCCCTGAAAGCAGCCCTTTTGAGAATGAAGATTCATCCCTAATGAAGAAGTAGAGATAGAAGTGCATTTGTGACTAGCAGCTCAAACTAGAACCTTTTTTTATTAAGGGAATATAAAATCTTATAGACAGATGGACAAAGTATATTGAAAAGCAAAGCGATTATGTCTAGAAATGATGTATTTGTTTTCTAAAAGTTGATTAAATGCTACAACCAGAGTGTGGATAATTTTTGACTCACCCTCATATAAAATCATGAGGTTGAAACTAATAAGCTCACCTGATGATGACATCTTTTGGCTCTAGTAACATCAGTCAAAAAGAAAGCCTTACCAAGGGCTTACTACTGATACCTGCCATTATCCGTGTGTCACTGAAGAACAGTAACACTGTCACTAGACATTAGTAAAATGTAATCGCCTAAGCTTTTGAAAACTTCTAGCTCTTTGCTAATATTTTCAAGAAAAAATGAAGTGGAAAGAACATTACTAATTCTTACCTTATTTGGCATCATCACGAGCTGCTGGCCTTTACAAATAGATCCTGATTCCAGCTTTCCCAGGACCACAGTTCCCATATCCTGTGGAATTAAAAAGTAAATAAATAAATCAGAAGTTTCAGCCAAGTTTATTACTGCATTATAATAACCCCAAATCAAAATGTACTTGGTTATTATTAAACAGGTATGCCTAAGAGAGAACCACAAAGCCCCTGGTAGAAGAGACAGCCCAGGGTTCACTATGATTCCTTAGGGTCTCTCACTCTCTCAGCTTGCTTCTTTATGTGCAGAGCTGGAAAAAACAAAACCTGCTCAAGAAGCTTAGGGACTCCTAAGAAGGGGCTTCAAAAAATTTTGTGGGAAAAATGAAAAGAGAATTCTTCCAAGAAGTTTTTGAAGTCACACATATAAACCAAAGCATCAGACAAACTGGTTTATATAATGTTCAAGTTGAAAGTCTAGTTTAACATGTATGGCACTGTACTATAAACACTGGCTCTCAAGGTCAGTTTGAACCAAAAGGCCAGCGGTTTAAGTTGACCTGTCGCTCCTTGGAAACTCTATGCAGGATCAGTGAGTCAGAATTGACTCAACAATATTTACTAATAATACTATGTATGTATGTATGTATGTATGATATAAATGAACAAATGTATGTATGTATGATATAAGTGAACAAATGTATGTATGATATAAATGAACAAATGTATGTATGTATGATATAAATGAACAAATGTATATATATATGATATAAATGAACAAATGTATGTATATATGATATAAATGAACAAATGTATGTATGTATGATATAAATGAACAAATGTATGTATGTATGATATAAATGAACAAATGTATGTATGTATGTATGATATAAGTGAACAAATGTATGTATGTATGATATAAATGAACAAACGTATGTATGTATGATATAAATGAACAAATATATGTATATATCATATAAATGAACAAACTATTTTTGAAGAGCTGTTTGTCACTATTCATTATTAATGAGCAAATGCTTTGGGTCTAGCACTTGTAATAAGCTTATCTATAGACCATGACCACAATAATCTCAATGGGAAGTAACTGAAATAAACTAAGGTGGGGAAGTAAATTCTGGTCTATCTATACCACTAATAAGCAACCTGGGTGCTGGTGTGGCACTGTAGGATAAGCACTGGACTGGTAACAATGTCAGTGGTTCAAACCCACCAGCACCTCCTAAAAAACCCTATACAAGGTCCTTAATGAGTTGGAACTGACTCCAAGACACTTAACAACAGTAATACACAACTTTAATGAAAAACAGAACACAATGATTCCTCCTCCCGTAAAACCCAACTTTAACATTTGCGTACCTTGTACTTATCCACAATTGGCAGCCTGATTGGTCCATCAATTGATCTATTAAAGTTTGGCAAATTATCCAGATACGGAATAAATGGTAATCCACTAAGAACATAACAACATCAATTAAAGTCAACATACAAATATCAAAAATCTGAATTACATGAACCTGTAACTTTACACAGAAATATGGTTGTAACAAATATTTTTTGACTCCTCATTCAACCAATTTACAATCAATTACATATCAATACAATCAACAGCTTATCTGTAAGCTAAGGTGATTAACATTTAGAAAAATATTTATAGCACATAGTCTACAAGTTGCAATCAAATGACACACGGTTAATACGTGAGGTTACAAGGACTAGATGACTTAAAATATTCCACAGCTGCCCTTTTGTGAGGAAATGAACGAAGTGATACTTGAATTCATATAGAAATTCTAGGGACCCAGAATAGCCAATCTTGACAAAGGACAAAGTTGGAGGATCCACACTTCCTGATTTCAAAATTTAATACAAAGCGACACTTAATCAAGACTGTTATTACACAGCATAACCAAAAAAAGACATACAGATTAGTGGAAGAGAAGCAAGAAATAAACTTATGTTTATGGTCACTTAATTTTCAACAAGGATGCCCAAAGGACAATTCAACAAGAAAAATAAAATTTTTTCAACAAATGGTCAAACGGTGCCTGGACAAATGGACATCCACATACAAAATGAAAAAGAACTTAAGACACTGGCCTTATACCTAACCAACCACCTGAAAATGGATCAGAGACTCAGGGGACACCAAGGTCAACTGATATAACATAGTGTACAAAGAAAATGTTCTAAATTCTACTTGGGTGATTAGTGACTGGGGTCCTTATAAAACTCGGGAGTGGTCATCTAAGGTACAACTATTGGTTGTATTCTCTCTCTGTCTGGGGGAAAGAGTGATGAAAATCGAAGACACGTGGAAACAATTAGTCCAGTGGACAAGTGGACCAGACGATCATTAGTCTCTGTGACCCTGAAACCAGAAGAACTAGATGGTACCTGATTACCATTATCAGCTGCTCTGAAAAGGATCACATGAGAAAGGACTAGAGACAGTGGGAGGAAAATGTGAACTTGCACTCAAAATCATTAAAAAAACAAGGCTAAGTGGTCAGATACAGACTGTGATCCTCAGTAATCCTTTGGGTCCACAACTGAACTCATTCCCATAGCCCAGTTGACTGAGATAATAGAATTCTATTAGAAGAGTTAATACTAGGGAGGTGTGCACACCGTAGAAGAATCAATTATTTGAGATCAAAAGGGCACCATTTACCCACAAAGTTCACGATCGGGCAGTGTGTGCACAGGGTTGTATGAGTCGGTATCGACTCGATGGCACCTACCAACACCAACAACAGCTCAGATAAAGTAAAGGAGGATGGGCAGAAAAAGGAAACCCAGGAAGGAAGTAGGATATGATGTTGTGGAGAGTGCCATCAATGCAAAATGTGAAGTGTTGAATAGAAAGTTGATTTGCTCTGCAAAGTCACCCAATTCACAGTAAAAAATTAAAAGAAAATGGATCCAAGACCTAAAACTAAGACATAAAGGGATAAACTGAACTTTATCAAAATGAAAAATTGTTGTGCATCAAAAGACACCATCAAGGCAGTGAAAAGACAGCCAGCTACAGAATGTGTGCCAGTGTATCTCATATGGGGCTTTTACTCAGACTATATGAAGAACTTCTCCAACTCAACAATTAACCCAACTAAAAAGTGGGCAAAGGCCCTACTATTTTAAAATTTTGAATCAAAAGGGCCAAATACTTGGTACTTACCTGTACCAAGGACAGAAATCGGATTGCTCTTTAAGATTTGCTCCAGTCAATCCTGAACAGGGCATAAAGTGAATGTCCTTTTTGGGATTAAAGCCAACTTTCTTCAAAAATGGCACTAGTTTCTCTTTACATTCTTCATACCTATGAACATTTACAAATAATCCAGTCATAATATAAAGCAATTATACTCAACTTTTGTAATTAAAAAAACTCCATATTTAAAGACACCCCTGAGTAAAGATGCTTATTATAACAAAGCCATCCTTTCTTCTACCAACCTGTCTGTAAAAGATAACAAACAGTACAACCCATCCTCTAAGCAGCTTACCGCTCATTGCTCCAATTTACTGTTGGGTCATCCATCTTATTGATAAGCACAATTAAGTGTTTTACACCAGCTGTCTTTGCCAACATTGCGTGTTCTCTTGTCTGTCCTCCTTTTTCAAATCCAGTTTCAAACTCTCCTTTCCTGGCAGAGATTACCTATTGCAAGAAATCAAATAATGTATTCTTTAGACATTCTGTATACCTCTCTAGCTGATTAAAACATCTTTCCTTTTACTTACGTCAGAAGTTTTTTGCAAAAAAAAAAAAACAAGCAAAGTTAAAATGCCTGCTTTCAACATCACGAGCTATTGTGTAGTGGATATTTACTTGATGTGGCTCTTCTATCCATAATCTTTAGGAATTCCCGGATGAGGAGGTAGGATCATGCAAACTGAGTATAACACGCTGACTGGTTGGTTTTGCCATTCCTCTGGGTTTAAAATATGCCATCTCAGAACCAGGAACGGGGATCTCAGTCCATCATGAAAGAAGAGCCAGAGCAGAGCTCTCCTTTGGAGCCTGAGATCCCTGCATGGCAAAGCGGCAGCACTTCAGGAGGGGCTTGCCTATACTGTAGCTGAGAAGAAGCTGGCCTGAGCAGAGAACTGCTGTACCCTGAGTGGTTTCTGATCCTGAATTGGACTGTTCACTTCCCGAATACACTGCATAACTATGCACATGATCTGAGTGCTGTGTGACCACTGCAGTGGATTATCAAGCCCAGCAGAGGAGGATCAAGTGCTGGGGGAGGGATGGTTGGTGTCTGAATACTGTAAAAGAGGGTTGGAGGATGGAGGCATGTGGAACCTCTGCCTTATAGGCACTGGTGTTGGGCTGCTGCATTTCTGCCTTTCTCCTTGTGAAGCCAGAGATTAGACACTACCCTCTACGCCCTTACACAAGCCCAACAATGGAAGTGATTTATGATCTGGCAAACATTTCTTCCAATCCCCAACTTCCAAAATCAAGTATACCCATATATTTTATAATTGAAATGCTAATGAGAGCTGACATCCTGGTGTGGCGCTGCAGGATAATGCACTGGACCACACAGTTGGCAGTTAAAACTCACCAGTTGGTTAAAACTCACAAGTCAGAATCGACTCAACAGCACTTTAACAAGGAGAGCTAGTGTCAGTACACTGTCAAATTAACAAAATGTGTGAAGGCCTAAAGAAACAGCTTAGGTATCTTTGCCCACAGTATCGAATGGTAGGCTTGGTATTTATTAAGACACTATAGTAACAGCCGGTTAGAAAGCAATGAGAGAAAAGCACAAACATACTTCAATAAACAAAACAAATGATTTATTGAGTAGATTAGTGAAACAAAAGTGCAAATTGTGACTATAAACGTTATTAAAGTTCAGCTTCTAACAAATAAATACACAGATGGAACAAAATGTTTTTCTTACCAGTACAGCCAAATCAGCTTGAGAAGCACCACCAATCATATTTGGGACAAAACTCTTGTGGCCAGGGGCATCCAGAATTGTGAAATGCTTCTTTTCTGTTTCAAAATAGGCACGGCCCACTTCTACTGTTTTACCTTTGTCTCGTTCTTCCTGATTTGTGTCTAAGGCCCAAGACAAGTACCTGAAAGAATTTAAAGATAAGACTGAAAGTGCTAAAAACATGCATTTAGAGACACTCTTCTATAAGTAAAAGTATAAATGATGACACCCAGCTTTCTGCCTGTTACACAGTATCTAACTCATGAACAAGACTGGAAAGAAAAATTAAGGGAATAAAAACTGTATTCTTACGGTATGTATAGCTAACTATATATTCGACAAGCAACTATTTATGGAAACAAGCTGATGTGTACACAGAAAGAACAAATGCATGTACCCAAGAGTTTAGCAATGAATTCCTTTCTGTTTGTGTTTTTAGAATTCTTGGGCACAAAGTATGGCTATTCAGGAGTATTTTTCAAAGTGCATGAAATTAAAAGTGAAGCCACCAACATGCCATTTGGGAGCTAACAATTATTTCGATATTACTTTCTTAGAAAAAAATGTTTCGTTTAAAATTTACATGATCTATAATATAATAGTACAAAAGGAGCTCTGGTAGCGTAGTGGTTATGAATTGGGCTGCGAACCTTAAGGTCAGCAGTTCAAAACTACCAGCTGTTCCGTGGGAGAAAGATGAGACTTTCTGCTCCCGTAATGATTTACAGCCTCGGAAACCCTGTACAGGGTCGCTGTGAGTCGGAACCGACTCTACAGCACGTCACTACCATAACAGTACATATCATTTAGATTACTTCATCATCTTTATTTTATAGCATTTAACCCTTTAAAAAAAAACAAAAAGCACCTGTAACACTGATTAGGATTTTCCCCATTAATACAGAAGAACACAGGACTATCAACGTTCCCTCCAAATGAGGCTTGATAATTTTTTAAAAAATAAAACAAAAATATTTAAGTTCAGAAGGCAGAAAAAAGTTGACTCATTCACCAATATTTTTAATATTTGATTCCCTATTCCCCCCCAGTGTTTATTTACATGGTCAGTTTTCCTACTTTCTGCCCAACACCACTGTAAAAAGAAGGTCACTTTCTGGTGATCATACAGTCTATAAATATAATTTTTAGTGGCTATAAAATGACGTAATTAATGAATGCCTTACAATTTATTCAACAAGTCTATTACTGGTTATTAAGATAATTTCCAAAACTTCTTTGTAAGTTATGAAATAATTAAGGAATGTATCCAAATTGGGGGTGGGGGGTACTCTTCCTTTGCTAAAACATCATTTTAGATCAAAACCTTATATTTTAATAGACTATGGAAACATTCAACAGGCAGGGTTTCCTTAAAATAAACTTATTATGATCATAAAAGTTTACCAAGTTTCTCTGTTTTTTTCTTTAGCTTCTCTTTCATATTTTTCAAGTGTCCTTTTGTCAACCATTCCAGTCAAATACCTGAAAAAAATAAACCAAAACAAAAGAGAGACAACTTTTAAAGACTTCAAGGGGAATTTCCATCCCAGACAACAGCTATGGAAATAAGTCAATGTACCAGCGTTACATGCTAAAATCATGGATGAAAGTCTCAGAGAAAATGGTTATTTGCATAGACTCACAATATGTCTTCCACCCCGAGATAGGGGAAGAAACACTAGCTCTGCTGTGACGAGACCTGAGAGGTGTACCTCACACTGAGCTGGGGGCCACTGAGTCAATTCCAACTCACAGGGACCTAGAGGGCAGAGGAGCAATGCTCGGGAGAATTCTACAAGGTAAGTTCACAGGAGCAGCTCGTCAGGACTTTCCTCCACGGAGCCACTGCTCTGTTTGAACGGCTGACTTTATGGTTTGCACCTCAAAAATCAAGGAATCATGATCATATCACCAACAATAGTAAATCATACTGAATACAGACATCATGTATACACAAGATCCTTTCTGTGGAATTCTTGCCCAAATGTGTAACACCTCAGTCTAACTGAGAAATTCACTCAAAGTCAAACTGAAGGACTCTCTAAGATAACTGTGTTGTTGTTAAGTGCCGCCAAGTTGGTTCCGACTCAGCAACTCTCTATAGGGTTTTGAAGGAGTGGCTTGGTGGGTTTGAACTACCAACATTGTGGTTCACAGTCCAGTGCTAATCCTACAGCATCACTCTTCAAATCATCAAGTTTGTGTAAGACAAGCAGAGGTGACAACATAATGAGACACAACAATTAAACACAGTGCGGAATTCTGGAATTAGGGCACAAAGAATAAAGGGTATAAGGAAACTGCTATTTTTGAAAGCGTTTTTTTTTTTTTCTTCCCCAAGTCTAAAATGACTCCAAAATAAAAGTTCCTTTTTGTTCCTAAAATAAATGAAAATGTTCCATAAAGGGAAAAAGGAAAACAGTGTTTTCTAGACAATGAAGTATTTCTATTATATTTCAGTATCTGATATTTTAAATTTTAACTTGCCAAAGAGAAAATATAATTTTAAAACAGTTGATTAGCAATGTGAACTGCTCTGAACTTTAACCTTTATGCAGTCTTTGATTAGTAATCTATTCTGCAGGGCTCCTAACCATATGAGTGTGGAACCCCAGATGCAGTGGAAGTTACAACCCCATCAGCAAAACACACACATTCACATAAAACACACGATCAAGTGGGACCCATGCTTCCATTCATGGTTAATGATGCCCTGTTTTAAGAGACTGATTTTGGGTCTTTGTTGTGGAAGTTATCATATGTGAGAAATTAGTTGGCAAGACAACTGATTCGCCTTCTAGGTACTCTGATGGCAACATTTAAATGTGTCTTTTCATTATAAAGACTTTTTAATACCAGAGTACTTAATACAGAACAACCAGGATATGGTCAAATCTAGACAATCATGGTGTGGATGTGTGCCGTTGAGTCTGTTCTGACTCACAGCGACCCTGTATAGAGTTTCAAAGTCTAGACGTTGTTGTTAAGTGCCTTTGAGTTGGTTCAGACTCATAGTGACCCTATACAGGGTTTCCATGGAGTGGTGGGTGAGTTTGAACCACAGACTTTGAAGTTCAAACCGACCTTGAGGTCGAGTGCTTATCCTCTGGCGCCACAATAACTGATCTTAGTCAGATATACCTGTTTGTCATTAAATCCAAATAAACCTAAAGAGCTGATAAATGAGGAATAAAAATTCCTCTCCCCCACTGGATTCAAGAGCTGGTTATAAGTATTCCCAAGCAAATTATATTGAAGTTTGACTAAGATTTCCTGTAACCTAGGTTTTACATTACTTGTTTGTTTGTTTTTAATATAACAGAGTCTTCAGAAACAGGACAATCGGATAGTGATAGGAAAACAATATCTGGGAAGACTGAAAATTCAGCAAAAAAGACTAATAATCATCATATTTCAAAAGTTACTTCTTAAAGTCAACCATCCATAAAGGGAATGTTGTTGTTGTTATGTGCCATGGAGTCGGAACCGACTCATAGCGACCCTGTACAGGGTTTCCGAGGGTGTAAATCTTTACGGGAGTAGAAAGCCTCATCTTTCTCCCGCGGAGCAGCTGGTAGTTTCGAACTGCTGACCTTGCGGTTCACAGCCCGAGTCGTAACCACTACGCTACTATCGTATTATTTCCCTTAACTTTTTTATTATAAATGTTTACAGTGCTGGAATACCACTGAACAGTTAACTCCCTTAGCATTTTATCATTAACCCATTTGTGACCCTGTAGAGATCTATGGAGGCTTCATCATCTTTGAAAGCCCCCTTGTACAGCCTCCACCTCCATTTTCCATGTCAAGTTTACTGGGACACACCTGTACCAATGACAGTACATGCAACTGGCAAGCAGGAACCTGTAAAATAGTTTGAAACAGAAGAAACTGGTGTGTGCCACAAGTGGCTGCTGGTACAGGTGTTGCAGAGCAGTGGTGTGACATGTGAGGTTAGACATGTACTTCTGGGTCCTGCACACTGTTGGGAAGCTGGTGTTCTCATGATGATTCCCTGTTCATGTCACTCCCCTGTCAAGGGATCTAGGCAGGGATCCAGAGCCACAAGTGAGGGGGCTTCAAAACAACTGTGGAAGAAGTCTATTATCTCTCAATTCCATCTTTCCATAGACTTTCTGAAGCCCCTTCATATCTATCCCATATAATTCTAGCCCAGAGGGATATATATGAACCATGCAGGCTTACCCGAAAAATCCAGGGGACGTATGTGTCCCACGTAATAATATCTACAAAAAATTCAAGCACTCTGATACAACATGCATTCCAGGAATGAGAATGTATATAAACATTTTAAGTATTTTTTAAAAATTTTTAATTGGAGCAAAGGGTTTTGATAAGATAGACTTACATGATTTGCCCTCCAATGGTTGACTTGCCAGCATCTAAAAGTAAGAACAATATGCAAAACTAAAGGTTAAGTTAGGGTACTGCTATGAAATCATACAACCCGGTAACAAAACCACAATGTGAAGCTATGGTTTCTCAACATCTACTCCAGCTACAGCTATACACAACTAAAGGTGTCATTTCCATAGCTCTAACTCTTCTCCCCAAAGAACGGTGCACTGCTCAATTTACTCCAGGTCAAGATGGCAGTTTAGGGATCCTTGAGGGACTCAAATCATGTTTCCTTTTAATGTTCTTAGACTTTGGGGAACAAAAGATGTCTGAAGGGGGAAGATCATGACTGTAGGGGGATGAGGTAAGGTTTCCCAACAAAATGTTCTTAAAGGGCATCCCTTGCCACCACTGACGAACGAGCAAGCTGTCGTGATGGAAGAACAGTCCATCCGTGCCATTGTCCTGGCCTTTTTCTCAGCAGCGCGGTTTTCAATTTTCCTAAGACTTCTTCCTAATCAGCCCCATAGTCATCCTGTCTTTTGAGAAAATCTGTCAGTATGAACCTTTGGGAATGTAATTACCTTATGAGCTGACCCCTCTGCCTTGAGGTTAATTGGCCCAGTGGAAACCAATGTTTTGAGTGGACCATTTTTCCTGAAAGGCACCCCTAATGAGACTAGGACTCCTGATGTGTCGCTGTAGAATCAGCACCACTGTGAATCACAAGGTTGGCAGTTCAAACCCACCAGCGGCTCCTTGGGAACCCTACACAGCAAAGTTATGAGTCGGAACTGACTCGATGGCATTTGACAATGAAACTAAGACAAGTGTGTGAGGTAGCTGCAGAAAGTTTGTGGAAAAGCTCCATCATCTTCTAATTGTATTTTTCCATGAACCTTTGGATGCAATCTCCAATTTTTGAGAGAACTTGTCTGTAGCCATCTACTGACCAAACTGAACACAGAGACACATTTAAATAATGTTTTGTTTGGATTACACCAACATGTACGAAATGGAACCCAGTAGCAATATTTTCTGGTAGTGTAGTGGTTACGTATCGGGCTGCTAACGTTAAGGTCAGCAGTTCGAAACTACCAGCTATTCCGTGGGAGAAAGAGGAGGCATTCTGCTCCCGTAAAGATCTGCAGCCTCGGAAACCCTGTGCAGGGTGGGTCACTATAAGTCAGAACCAACTCCATGGTACTTAACAGTAACAACATATATACTAATACAACTAAAGGTATGTTTTTGCATATATAATTAAATCTTAAAAAGTAAATGATCTATATATAGTAGGGCTTTGGGGCACTGTTGTTATTTTAAGCCGAGTCAATTTCGAGTCATAGTAACCCTATATAGATAGGGTTTCCGAGGTGCAAAATGCCTCATTTATTCTCCCATGGACTGGCTGGTGGACTTGAACTGCCAACCGTGTGGTTCACAGCCCAGTGCTTATCTTATAGAGGCACTGTGCTCCCAGGGCTTTGGGGCATTAAGTCCTAGTTAATTACCTACTTCCTTAGAAAATGAGGTGCTAAGGTGTGGAGCTGTGTTAATGTGCCACACTGCAAAGCAGTCTGAACTGTAAGCTCACCAGCCGCTCCTTGGAAACCCTATACAGGGTCACTATGGGTTGGAACTGACTTGATGGCACTCAACAACAACAACAAGACCCCTATAATTCCATTATGACTTAGGAATATTTTCCAGCAAAAGAAAAAAGTTTTGGAAAGATTGCTTCCTGGTTCCTCAAAGAGAGAGTTAGAGGAAAGCCAAAGGCAGCTAATGAGCTGTGGTGTACATTGAGGGTGAGCATTCTTTTATACATTTCCAAGAAGCTCTTGCTGCTAACAAGACAATATGATATATTCTCATTTCTAGTGGGGAGGTAGACACAGAAAAAAGCACTAACTCATAACTATGCCTTTTTTGCTCACAATTTCAGGGATCCATCAGATAGAGAATACGGGAATAAATTCAGTAAGTTTTTAAATGGACAAATTAACAGAATTTCACATAGAAAATAGCAAACCATGTATATTTCCTAGGGTAGCCTCAGATACAATACACTGAGCTGTCCTGTGGGCCCCATAGACATACACTGACATGTGTATCCTCCTCGCATCCATGCCATTACAACACTGCTCAGTAGCACAGCCTTTAAGAACACAAGTTCTGGCTACTTACCAGTTAAAAAGAACTTAGCAATTTAAAAATCAAGGCATTTTATACCTAACTGAGTTAGGTCACAGATACAGAACATACATTGCTCTTACTGAAATAAAGGACAGAATTAACATTAAAACTTAAATTTAAAAGCAACAAAGCAAAAAACATAGCCTTTTAATTCAGTTTGGTTTCACTAACTATACCCAAGTAGCTAAAGAGACATGTATTTTTATGTATCTAATACCTTCTGTCCTTTCGTATATTGCCATGAGTCTAACTTACCCACATGCCCAATGAATACAACATTCACGTGTTCTTTTTTAGGGGCACCTGGTGGTGCCACGACGGATTTCGGTTTTGGTATTTCCTCTTCTTCCTCCATCATTTCTTGGGCATTGTCTTCGGGGGACTTTCCATCTCCCAAGGAACCACCCCCCGGCTCTGCTTCACTTATTTCTTCTTTGTGTTCCCACGATTCTTCTGGAGACATGTCTGTTTCTCCGTTTTCTACTGAAATAAGACATTTTTTAACTTAGTATGTGGAAAGACTTACAACTGATACTTTCATGTACAGATGTTTCCACACAACAAATGGAACCTGGCATATATATTCAGCTCTATTTTCTGTTGCCCAGTGTCCTGCAAGCAGGAACTCCTCTTTCCCAACAGAAGTGGACAATGGCTTTCAAGCAGACACTGAGATTGCTATCTTAAGGAAGCCTCATTTTCATAAGAACAAACAAACTACACAGGAGAGCTGGCATTCCTAACAGCCCAGTTACTCCACTGTCAAGATGCTCCAGCAGTGGAATAGAAGGGGAGTTTAAAATCAGCCCAGGAAAAAGGGGCTTCTTTCCCTTTTCAAGTATTAGAAGTTTGGCATGAACTTATGTAAGTTACAAAAAAGGGCAGGGAACAATACTACTCTTTCTGCTGACATTAGTAGTACTCGCTCAGTTCTCCTAACTTCGCAATCGTTAAATGTATCACATCAGTGTTTATACACAATTCAGTTTCCGAAATCTTGACAGCAAAGTCTTAAATGTAGGCGCTGCAATAACCATAGCACTTACACCTGCCCTGTAAACACCGTGTCAGAGTTTCATATTACTGTTTAATATGATCAGAAATGTTCTTACCAACAGGTTCTGACAGTTCCATGCTAACAGCTGAATTTGAACCTAGACAAGAAATTGAGATATATATTTACAAAACACTATCTTGATTTATACACTAGACAACACAATGTCTTCTCAATTACATTCTAAAAGAGTCACATCATAGAAAAATTACCTTCGCACGACGGTTCCTCTTGAGAAGGTTCCACAGGTGCTGTGTAAACAGAAATAAGTTCCATAATTAAATACTGAAATCTATATACCCATCTTTTAAAACACAGTGTAAACAAAAGTTGTTAAAATACAACAAAAAGTTCAACAGTTCAGATCAATGGCAACTATAAGTTTTCAAACTAAAAGTCTTGGTTTAATCTACTTTTAAAAAATCTGACCACCAATTAGTCAATTTAAGAAAAATATTTTTATTAATTCAAATGTATTCATAAAGTCATGCATATTCTCTAGATTTGCTCTATAAACTTTTCCTTCACAGACATTATAAAAGTCAGCACAGATCAAATTTATAAGATTTTGCTCAACAAATAAACAGCTATTTCTCTAGACTCTCTTGGTGACCTTCTAGCCTAAGAGAGCTATGATTAGCCCTTTTCAGATATCATAAACATGTTATCATCAAGATGCTTGTATACAGTAAGTATGACTTCATAAACTAAACATTTGTGTTGTTAAGTGCCACGGAGTCAGTTGCTATTCATAACAACCCTGTATTGGGATTTTGAGGAGCAGCTAGTGGGTTTGAACTTCTGACCTTGTGGTTCACAGTCCAGTGCTGATCCATACAACGCCACACTAGGAGTCCAAACATTTGTCTAAGGCTCATGAAATACATATAGCTTCCTTCCAGCATATGCAGAAGAGGTGATTCCAATGAGGCCCATTTCGTCATATACTAGAACAATGAACCAATAATTGAACTCCCCCAATCACTATATTGCAAATCTACTTATGGCGAATCAGTACAAGTATATACTGACACTTTCAAATTTGCTCAATCTAAACAATACTACAGTATACAAGCACTCTTGCTTTAAAAAATCTCCAAGATGTAGGAAAAGAAGTCTCTTCAATCAATGGTGTTGGGAAAACTACAGAAAAATGAAACAAGATCCATCCTCACACCATATGCAAAAAGAAATTCAGAACAGATTAAGGACCTGAATATGCAAACAAATGCCAAAAACTTCTCACATGAATAAGCAGGGGCAATGCTGTCTGGCCTAGTTCAATAACGGATCATCTAATGCAACAACAAAAGTTAGATAAAATAACTGGGAACTCATAAAAATGAAAAGCTTTTGTTCATCAAGACATTATCAAAAAAGTGAAAAGATAAGCTACCAACTAGGAGAGTATCTTCAGAAACCATATGACAAAAATCTAACAAAATAAAACGGTATGTAAAACTTCAACAACAAAAAAGCAACGAAACCATACAATGGACAAAGGACTCTACTGACAATTCATCAAAGAGAACATACAAATGGCCGTCAGACCCATGAAAAGATGTCCAGCAACGTCAGCCTTGTTGTTGTCAAGCGCTGTCAATTCCAACCCACAGTCACCCTGTACAGCGTTTCCAAAGAGCAGCTGGCCGGTTTGAAATGCTGACCTTGCGGTTCAAAGTCCAGTACTTATTCTATAACACCACACCAGTAGTCCATTTGTTTTGTTAAGTACCATCAAGTTTGGAGGGCTGGTGGGTTTGAACCAAGTCTAGTATCTTGTAGCATCACACCACAACTCCACTAAGGGACAGCAGGGAGGGGGAGAGGGGACATTAATAGTTACGGAAAAATCGAATTAAGGGTAGGGTTACACAGTTCTTAAGTGTCGTTGAGTTGGTTTTGCCTCGCAGTGACCCTGTATTAGGTTTCCAAGGTTTTAAATCTTCAAGAGAAGAAAGCTTCATCTTCCTTCCGTGGAGAAGCTGGTAGGCTCAAACTGCAGACCTTGTGGTGTACAGTCCAGTGCTTATCACATGGAGTCACAGTGTTCCCAGTGTTGTCCATCTGGCAACTGCTGTCAATAACTGAACACCTATAAAAAGTTGGACTGGCAAAAGTTGTGTAGCAGATATATTTACAACAATACAAAAAGAGGAGCTACAGCTGAGGCTGCTTATGTAAGAGCAAACACCTCGTGAGGTTACGCTCCTTGGTCTGGAGCGTTAGGTGACGGCTTCATGACACATTCCAGGAAACTGGTCTAATAACATGGTTAGAACTTCTCCTCTACTTCCTACATCCTTGCACACACAGTACATACTTGCACGGTGCCTTGAAAGCTTCTAAGTAGCCACTGAAGGCCCAATAATGGGTCTCTATTCATCACCTGGAACAAGGAAGGAGGAAGATGTTGAAAGTGTGGCTAACTGCTTACATGAACAGCTAGTTCCCTCCCCTGCAAAGAGATCAGAAATGGTGGGGTCTTGTTACCATCACTTTATAGTTGGATCAAAGATTCCAAAGCAGAATCCTGATTAAAAAGGGGAAAATACAGAAAATATTATCAAAGTCTCATGGATTGTAGACTTAATGGAGCCACTGAGATTGGATGAACCCCTGAAACTATTGCTGAGATAATCTTGCAGACTCTCTGCAACAAAGTGAAATAGATACAGATGATGACCCCAGAACACTGAGCTTCAGAAGACAGGGCAGAGGAGTGGCCTGAGTGCTGACTGGAGGGGGAAGCTGAAAAGAAGTAGCTAGCCAGACAAAAACTAGGCAGGCTGTCTATCAGCTGCCATGGAACAGCAAGTGGCTGCCGATACAAAGGCCTGACTGCAGGCAAAGGGATGCAGGGCCGGGGTGGAGTTCTTCTGTGTTCTCTTGCCCTCCTGGTAGCCAGGGTATGGTTAGTCCCACCACAGCCCACACAGTGACCAATGGCATCCTCTCCTGAGCATGTGGCTTGGTGTCTTCCGGAGTAGCACCAACAGCAAATTCACAACTGTGTTCAGACTTCCTTCCAGTCTCTATCACATCCACCAGGAGACCAGTGGTAAGTGCCTGAGAACACAAGCAGACACTCATCAATGGAATATAAATACAACAATGGCACAATGTCTCAGAGAAAAGCGAGAACTTCAATTTATGTGATGAAACAAGCCAGAGTGCCTCAAACAAGTGAAAGTCAAATTCAGAAAATACAATACCAGAAATTAATGAAAACTACCTGATATGAAGAAAAACGTGGCATCAGGATTGGAGGAAGACTCATTAACAACCTGCGAAATGCAGATGATACAACCTTGACCGCTGAAAGTGAAGAGGACTTGAAACATTTACTTATGAAGATTAAAGAGCACAGCCTTCGATATGGATTACATCTCAATGTCAAGAAAACAAAGATCCTCACCACTGGACCAATAAACAACATTCTTATCAATGGAGAAAAGATTGAAGTTGTCAAGGACTTCATTCTTCTTGGATCAGCTATCAACACTCGCGGAAGCAGCAGTCAAGAGATCAGACGACGTACTGCACTGGGAAAATCTGCTGCACAGGAACTTTTTAAAGTGTTGAAGAGCAGAGATGTCAGCTTGAGGACTAGTGTGCGCCTGACCCAGGCCATTGTGTTTTCAATAGCCTCATATGGATGTGAAAGCTGGACAGTGAATAAGGAGGATCGTAGAGGAATTGATGCCTTTGAGTTGTGGTGTTGTGTTGGAGGAGAATACTGAAGGTGCCATGGACTGCCAAAAGAACCAATAGATCTGTTTTGGAAGAAGTGCAGCCAGAGTGCTCCTTGGAGGCCAGGGTGGCTAAGCTTCGTCTCTCCTACTTTGGACATATTGTCCGGAGGAAACAATCGTTGGAGAAGGATGTCATGCTGGGTAGGGTGGAGGGTCAGAGAAAAAGAGGAAGACCCCTAACGAGATGGATCAGCCAGGTGGCATCATTGATGGACTCAGGTGTGGCGGCGGTAGTGAGGTTGGCCCAGGATCGAACATTGTTTCGTTCTGCTGTGCATGGGGTCACTATGAGTCGGTTCCGACTCGATGGCACCTGACAACAACAACAACCTGATAAGGAATTTAAAAGAATGCTACGTAGTTACCTTCAATTAACTGAGAGAAAGACTGATGAAAGCAAGGAAGAATTCAGGTAAATAATACAAGAAAAACTGGAAACCATACAAACACGGCAATTAACCAGAAGGCTACTACTTAAGACTTCAGAAGTAGAGAAGATACTAAAAAGGTAATGCAGAGTTGCACCAACAGAAGGCCAAATCAGTGAGCTTGAAGCCGCTTCTCTCTTCAAGAGGAAGCATCAGAAAAAATATAGCGACCCTATATAGGGTTTCTGAGAAGCAACTGATGGGTTTAAAGTACCAATCTTGTGGTTAGCAATCCAGTGTTTATTGAACAGCACCACACAAGGACTCCAAAAAACAACCCTGGTGGTGCTGGTTCATAGTGAAAAACAAATCCAGAAGATGGAAACTAGGTAACCAGAGATACGGGTTTGCAGCAACACAACACAAAATGAAAAAAGGGAGCAATACTGATTTCAAGAAAAAAAAATAAACCTGTCACCCTAAAACCAGACCACCCCTCAATCATAGCCCTATTCTAACCCAACCCTAACCCTAACTATAACCCTAAGTGAAGTCATAGGTCTTGCCTAGACCTAGCCATAGTTGTAACCATAACTCCTCACTACCCTACCCATCTACCCAAAAACCTAAAAATTAAAAAAGAAATCAGGCCATCAAGGCAAGCAATCAAGTTCCTTCAGGACAAACTCAAAGGGAACACACAAGCAGGCATGTAAGCTTGCTGGACATCACAATGGTGAGAAGAGGGGGAAAGGGAGCAATGAAGAAATGGGCTGAGTTCAAAACAGTCCATGGACTCCTGCTGACCTGGAGATGAGAGAGAGAAGAGGAAGGGCTGGTTGGTCCAAAGTGTGGTGAGACCTGAGGACACTTGAGCCCATGGACAAGGACATAACCACAGAGGGCTAGAGCTGAGAGTGAAGCATCCAGCTGATATGAAGTGAGGGGAGATGCACAAGAACACTCAAACTTGCAGACAGTACCCATTTGACCTAGCCTCCATGGCTTGATAATCAGAACTTGACTAGAGAAGGTTGGAAAAAAAAAAAAAATTTTTTTTTTTTTTGGATAAAGGAAACAAGGGTAAATTGCTACAATTGGATGAACCTGACCAATACTCATGGAGGT